ATCTCCTACCACCATGGCATACCGAACCGAGGCTTTGAGTTGGTGTATGTATGTAAATACGAGTTTCTTTTTTTCTTTTTCTTCACCTTTCTGCTTTCTTTTTTTTTCTTATTTTATTTTATCAGACTTGAACATATTTATCTTTAGTTATTTGTTTCACAAATATATTCAAAATAATATAAATAAATTTATGTAAAATAATTGTAAATAAAATATTATTTCAAATAATATAAGTATGTGCAATTTTAATAGAAGCAATATTATTAGAATCCAATTTATTGATCAACAATGATATAATATTTTAGTATATATGAGTATATATTTAATTGTTAAAATTATTTCAGATTAAGAAATTATTATTAATTTAAATTAATCGTCATTATCTATATTTTTAGATAAAATTATTGAATGTAAGAGTTCATTTCTAACACTAAAACTATCTAAATATATTATATATAAATGATTATGATTCAAGTATATTATGATTATTCTTAATATAAATAAATAAGTATCTATATAAATGTAATTAATTGTCCATGTTAATATAATTCAAAACAAAAACTTGATGCTTTTTTTTAACAAGATTGGTAATTCCAATATTTATTAAATAAAATTTCCTCACAATTATTTTCAATATGGAAACAGCATATAAAAATATGTAGAAAATAGAAAACATTTAAATTTAAATATTTTTATTTTTTTTATTTATCTTATTTTATTCTAATTATGTTCTTTAATTAAATTGAAAAATGTAATCTTTTATTATCTGTAAATATTCGAGTTAATTTTATATATATATTATATAATAAATAAATTCAATAGATATGAAAGCATGATATATATTTCGAATCAAGAAATAAATATTTATTTGTTTATAGAAAACAGTTCTTCAATTTAAAATCAAATTGAATATTTTTTCATATTGAAAGTATTTATTTCAGAAAGATAATAATTAATTACTACTACGATGTTATAAATTTTACTTACAATTTTTAATTTCAAGCTTCATAAAAATAATTAAATATCGAAAAAAAATAACGAAACTCTAAAAATTATGTATAAAATCTAACTCAATTATCAATTTTTAAAATTAGTCAATTTTAGTCATATATATTTTCATGAAATTAAAAATGAAAAATTTCCATTATATGCTTATAACATTTACTTATTATTATGTTCTTAAAATTAATATTTCCTACAAAGGAGCTCGAATAAATAATTTTATTAAAAATAATAGAAAATAAATATTAAAATTTTACTTATTTTATTAAAATTTTTATTGAAAGAAACTCTCTTTCATTTAATCACTTAATTAATCATATTTACAAAATATTTTATATTACAATGAATAATATTTCAAAATTAACAATATTTTTTCACACATCGAAAAAAATGTTAATTTTCATCATTTTCATGTTAATTTATCATTTGGACTTCCTATCAAAATAATCGAGAAACTGTACAAAAATAATAGATTTTTTTTCGTTAAAAATAACACAAAAATATCCAGAAAAGATAAAAATTTATTTCTATTTTAATATCAGTTACAGTTAATTAAGTTTAATAACTTGAAATTTTGTACCATCTTTAAATACGATTATATTCGATTTTATATGATTTTATTTTTTAAATGATTAAATATTAAAAATACAATTTATAATTTTATAAATTTAAAATTCATTAATATCTATATTATAATTATGTTCGATTTGGATAATACTATGACTTGAATTCATGTTTGAAATTTAACATCTTGTAATCTAACCTACTTATGTATAATTTATAGAAAAACTAACTCCTCGCTGATTTCAATGACTTTGAAATATATAAGAACATTATTTTGAGCAATTTTTCTGAGAATACTTGACTAAGAAAAGATTACGCAAAATGATATAGTATATTTCAAAGTAATTGAAATCATTGAATGAGAAGGAATCTTTTCTAAAAATTTATTTTTTATTTTTATCTAGATCAATGGAATTCAATTGCTTGTTTTCATTATTTTTTTTTTTTTTGTTATTTCTATGCTATTATGAAAAGAATAAGAAAAATCAACCCATAAGACGTTTCAACCCATAAGAAGACAACCCATAATAAGACAGTTTTTTTACAGAAAATAATTCGAAAACTAAAATATAGATCGCCATTTATTTGTGAAAGGATAGTTTTTAACAAGTTTATCCTACTTCTTCTAAATAAATTTTGTTATTAACAATAATTAATATTTAAAGAAATAAGATATAATGCATTTAGTATATGTTTGAATCATGAAAGATTTTTTCTAAATCGAAAAAAAAAGATAAAACACATATAAAAAAAGAAGATAATCTCAAAAATAAGAATATATGTAAATACTAAAGTGTATTTAAGACTTTTTACATTAAAAATTATTACATTAAAAAATCTTTATAATTAATATGATATACATTAATAGATATATATTAAAAATTGATTATTTAAAATATATTTTAAAAATTTTGATCTTTCTTCGATTTTTTAATTTGAAGCAAAATTTGTATATGAAACAAATTATAAGGTCGATTTCTTTATTTCATATAAGTATTAATCAATCAAGTACAAAGCTACTGTAGATTCAGTAGATAAAAGATTCATATATATTATTTATCAATTGCTATTATTCACATTTATGATGTTAAAAAAATAACTAGAAAAAATTCTTTAGATCGAGATAAAAATCTATAAATGTACATAATGTGAATCTAATTTCTATGAATATAATAAATAAAAATAGGTAACTATTATAATTACTTCATAACTTACTCTGCAATTATATAAAATTTAAAACTTTAGAAAATTTACGATTTATACAAATGAATGCAAAAATATTTAAATTATGTTGGAAAATGTTTAATTAAATATTTAATTAGTCATTAATCTTTAATTTAATCTTTTTTCCTTCTATCACAAGTTAAAATCTTAAACTTTAGCTGTAACTTGTATAATTAATAAATTGATATAAATGGATTGAAAATACAAATTAATATTATTACAATACAATTATTATAATACATAATTTCCATCTAAATATTAATAATAAAAATTGGTATCTAAAAATTTAATTTTTAGGATTTTATGATCTTTCCAATTGTTATATAAAATAATCAGCTAATTTATAATTTTTAAAATTTACTTTTAAAATTTTTTTCATTTCATTACCAAATAATTAATATTATTACAAAAGAATTTATTAGAATTTATTATTTGCACTAATAATTTGTAAAATTTCAATAATAATAATAATTTTATTTTATAAGAGAAACAATTAATAATAATTATATAATACAATAAAATAATTATTATGTAATATAATTATTATATTATACAATTATTGTTAATTAGTCTTTTTGTATTATATATATGAACTATTATCAACAAAATTTTATAAGTACAGTAAAACTTCTAAAAAAAATCAGATAATATAATAATTATTTTATATATATATATATATATATTTAAACATATTATATATGTTTCAATTAAATTTTTTTTTGATTTTTTGAGTTTCAGTTTTTCTATTCTTCCTGCCAAATTATAAATTTTTAAATTATTAATTTTATAGCATTATTTTCTTTTTATATTTCATGCTATTTAAAGATTATTTTTATTGTTTTATTTTTCTGAATGCTTCTGAAAATTAGAAATTAAAAGTATTGTTCTGACTTATTGCTGTTTTCCAATTCTTAAATTTTGAATTCTTTAATGATTTCTTTGTTAGTTACATCATTTATTTTTAAAACGATGACATCAGCATCAGTACAATCTGTACAACTTAATGTGGTATTGTTGGTATAAAATACATTAGATATATATACATATATTTATTCCTTTACCGTTGATATTTGAATAATTGAACGTCCGCGCAATAGATGTTCATATAATCAAACATTCGGTTAATAGAATAATCGAGATCTTACTATAATTAATTATATATTATATTATATAATATAATATATAATTATATATCTTATACCATATTGATATATATATAATATATAAAATGATTTATAATAATTGTATAATATAATTGTATAATAATAATAATGTAATATAATGATAATAGTTTTGAAATATGCATTTAAATTAATGATAGCAAAGAAGGAAAGAGATATATAATAAATATTTACAAATAGAATAAAAAAAATTCAATTCAATCATATACAAAATGTTCCGTCGCATCGAAGAACCATTTCAATTTATATACGAAAATATATATACGAAAAAATTTCATATAAATATATTTTCATATTACATAATAACGAATTTCTTCTTTAACATTGTATTTGTTTACCTTTACAAAGATGTTCAAAATCCGAATACAAACTCGAAGATGTTTTACATTGATTGTTTTATTCTTCTCATTTTTCTAGATGTTCGTATTTTTTGGAATATTCAAACTATCGAACTATCAAAATATGTTCTGTATACGATGAATCTAGAGATATTAAGTTCCATTTCTATATTAAAATTAATTCAATTATTTTTAGCACTATAACTTAAAAACAAAGCAAATAAAATGTATATTTATTGGAACTTTTTTTATTGTTTTAGATAAATTCATGCATTGAAACAGTTTTTCGATACGATAAAACATTCTATACCAATAAATCTGAGCGATATAGAAACTCTTGAAATACTCCATGTCTGTAACAAAAATACTTTACGATCGAAATTGAGAGAAGATAGATAGATAGATAAATAAAAGAAATGAGAAAGAGAGGAAGACAAATATTCGATGAGAAAGAATTCGCCCGTGGCGTTCACACTAAAGAAGAAAATAAATGCTACATAGCTAAACGAAGCTATATAGCTACATGTTCGAAATTACAGTAGTGCACAGAGAGCATATAATGAGACTTACTTATTTCGTCTCGCTAACTGGAATAATTATAATAAAAATTTTCAGAAAGAAAAGAAAAATAAAAATAATGATATCACCGTTTTTAAACAACTGCCAGTGCTATTGCGATCAAAAAGGATATGGATTAGTGATGAGCGCCAGACACCAGTTGCGCGGCCGTGTATTCTGGTCGAGGTATCGCAATGCAACCGGCACAAAACCAGGATAGGGTAACTCGTCGCCATCCACATCATCTACTCCATCGTCCTCTTCGTTTTCATCTTCCTCTTCGTCTTCTTGGTCCTCATCATCCTCGTCATCATCATCATCTTCATCCTCGTTGTCATCCTCATCCTCCTCTTCCTCTTCCTTCACGTTTTGTTCAACACGTCTATTAGTCGACTGGCCGCCCCCATCTTCATCCTCATCGTCCTCGAGATCACTGAGTTCGGCAACATCACTGTCGGAACCTTGTTCTCCATTTCCTGATCCGACAGCTTTACTAGCCGGACGATACCGATATCCTTGGGGATAATGCAACGACATGCTTCCCGTCTTAGATCTCGTCCACCAAACGCGAGGATGATGAATCCTTGAGAAGCGTTCAGTGGTAGCCTGTCACAAGGATGGTCTGTACAAGAGATTTCCAAATAGATTTACTGAAAAATTTGTCACAGGAAAGATTATTCCTGAGTGCTTGCGACAAAATAGACGTCGCTGCTCCAAACGATGTAACCAGGTGGACAGATAAGAACGACATCGAGGACTCGTAAATTCGATCAGTTCTTCGGTTATTTTATCACGGTCCAAATACCACGAACAATGTGAACATGTTTCTCATACGCTCTACCGGTAGAAACATACACAGTACTTTCGGCTATAAAAGTCTTGGGATCGAAGAAGCTGCCGCACATCCACTGACCGCATTTTACTTTGAAGTAACGACAGCAGTGAAATCCAGGTGCGTAACAGTGCCTCGCGATGCGCTTGCCCGGTTTCTCTCACCTGCAATTCTCTCACCTTCGGGTGCCCTCTCGTACGGAGATTGACTCACCTGCTACCAAGCAAGAGCTATCATTCACAATCTAAATCGTGGGATACGATTATCAGATAATAATAATAAGGGAAAGTTTAATTTTGATGATAATGTCGATAGGGAAATATCGAAGAACAACAGGAAACGAGGATAGAACACCTGCCGTGTAAAACGTGTGAAATTCGTCCCTAGAGAGACACTTTTGGCAGCAAGATGGAAAGGCAAAGCGCGTGAGTGGCGCGTGGTATGTCGCGTGGCCCGTTAAAAATGATCCTAGCCTTCTCCTTCACTGGAAACGTATATTTTTTCCTGTTGTTAACACGAAAACTCGATCGTACGCGATTAATGACCACGAATTGGCCTACCTGAGAAAATTACTATAAGATCCACGACCCATATCAAACTACTCGCGAACGTGCGCGTCGACGGTGCCCGGCGCAGCGTCGACCGGTGACTGAAAAAAACGTCGAACATCCTTGTCGACGAAATGGAACGCATGCGCGACCCTTCCGTCTAGGCGCCCCTCGCTCATCCGTTCACGACCTTCTGCATCCTCCCTCAAGAAGATCAGCAGATTCTCCTACTCTTTTACGCCTTCCTTCTCTTCTCTCTTTTATTTTTCCTCTTCATTCACGTGAATTCTCTATAATCGTAGATAATATATTCAAACTGTAAAGAAGAAAAGAAGAGATAATCAGAAACAAGCAATCGAGGGGAGCTAATCTTATAGCTACTCTTGGGATCTTGTCGCTTTCGTTTTTTATTTTCAATGAAGTGCCACACGTGCTTTCTTTTCTCTTCCTTTTGTGACACACATATACAATACATAATATATAATACATATGTTTCAATTTAGGAACGTTATGTATGAAACTCATTTAAATTATTGAACATAATAACTAATAAGCAATAAAATTTATTATTTATTATGAATTTTATTCTTTTTTTATTAAAAAATATAATAAGTTATTTTTAATTATAATTTTTTAAAATTAATAAAAAAAATCTGAAATAATGTTAACGGTCAGTCATATATTTTCATTCATTTCAAATTTCATTATATTTAAAAATAATATTTATCTCTATTTGTATACATACATATGCATATATATTTTTCTATTTTATTTCATTATTTATAAGACAAATAAAAAATATATATTAAATCTTCTAAGATTAAATTTCTGGTCCTTTTTATTTCAGCTTCCTTTCCGCTTTCTTCTCTTAGTCTTTTCCAATCTCTCTCTTCCTCTAGTGGTTTATATATGTGTCTATTTTCGGTTGGAATTCAACACGAGATTTTGCGGTAGGCACCGTATTATGTATCGCTTCTAACAAAAGTCCATTAATAATCACGAACCAATATAAAAAAGCAGATTATATTGTCTTTTGTAAAACAACTATTTGTTTTTTTTTACAAATATGGCATTATATTTACAATATAATACATAATACAATATAATACAAATAAATAAAATACAAAAATCAAAAATGAATAGCACATAATTTTACATATTCACTTTATTAAAACAAAAATCATTTACAAGTATTTTCAACAAATAATACTATTTTTATTAATAACATATATTGATATTGCGAAATATGATACAATGCATAATTTGAGATTTTAAATTTTATTATTTTGCTATTTTTATAATTTTAATCTCATCAAAGACAAAATCATTTATTATTGAATATAATTATTAATCAATAATAATTAAAATATTTTTCTTATTACTATTCATCTAGCAATATTGCTAATTGTTCAGAATTTGTAACAGGTAAAGAACATGTACAATGTTTGCATATATAAACCGTTGTTTGATTATTCACAGGCTTCATATTTCTGAAATGTTCATTTTTACGAAATAATATGCTATTTGTTTTATCATGATCAATTAAGAAAAGTATCCTTCCTGGTATTAAACGTTTATATATAACACTAAGTAAATCATCAGTATCCTTGGCATTTCGTTTACCAACCACATAAATCTAAAATATGAAATTTACAAAATTTCATTTCAAAAACTTATCAAATTTCTGAAAATAGTCAGTAAGCTCAATGTAATTTTTGACACACCTGTGTTGCGTCATCATGATAACGTATAAGAGCCGATACTAGCTGTGGAATTGAAACAGGTCTTTTAATTAGTAAATGTCTAAATGTTCCAAAAAGACGCACAGCTTTATCCTTAAATTCACTACGTCCCAAATAATCTGCCAATCTTAATAAATTTTCGGCAGCAATTGAGTTACCGGATGGTTCTGCTCCGTCATAGGCTATGCATAAGATTATAAATCTTAAGATTATAAATACATGTATATCCGATCTTTCTCTTTCATTCATATTAGTCAAGCTAATATTAAACCATAATCAATAATCGTAACCATAACTGCCACTAATCTGATGAATTTAATGACTAAACATAATGAAACTAAATAAATCTGCTATAAATATTTAAATACGCTTATTTTTACTATAGAATATTGATTTCTTTGATTTCGTAATATAATATGATATGAATTATTACACATAATTACATATAATATAAAATCATAAAAATTTTAATTGTCAATCTAAAAATATTTTCAAAATATATTTAAAAATATATTTAAAAGTACCTTCCTTAAGTCTGAGAATTATACTAGGATCGTTCGACGTTGTCGAAAAATATCCACCATTTGTTTCATCCCAAAAAAATTGATCTTGAAGATCTTGTAATTTTTCAGCAAATTCGAGCCATTCCTCGTTTAAATCAGATTCATATAAATCTAACAATCCTTTTATAACAAATGCATAATCGTCTAAAAAACCTGGTATAGGTGTACTCCTGAACATAAAATATCAAAATTTATGTACTACACATATACTACACAATTTAATAATAACAATATACTTACATTTGTGTAATTATATTTTTTTCGTCGCGATAACAACTATGAAGTAATATATTTTTTGTTTTATCAAAAAGATATCGTTTAATAAATTTTATAGCATCTACTGCATACTTAACATATTGTTTATTATTTACAGCTGTTCCTCCAAAAGCTAAACCACTAATCATAAGACCTAAATTCAGATTTTTTATTATTTTAATAATCAAAATAATATGTAGGTATTAATATATTATATATATATGTAATATATATGTAAATATATACTATAATATATTATATAAGTACCATTCCATGCTGTAATTATTTTATCATCTAAATGAGGTCTTGGCCTTGTAGATCTAGCTTTATATAAAATAGAACATGCTTCCATCAGATGCATTTTCACTTCTTCAACTGGAAGATTAAAATGTTTAGCTGTTTCTTCAATTTCATTATACATTATTAATACATTCTTTCCTTCAAGTTCTCCATGTGGATCCTAATAGATAAAAAATTATTGATTATATGAAATAAGAATTAAAATCTCTTTAATAATTAACAAAAAAAAATTTTTTTTAAATAAATGTGATAGAATTCTTGTTTTATTATTATTAAATATTATTATTAAAAATATTATTAAATAAATATTTTAATTAAATATACATTTTTCTTAAGATTTTAAATTTTTCATAATAATTAAATATCAAAAAAAATCTTTAAATTTATTTTATATAAAAATATTAAAAAAATATTAATTGATTTTGAAGAATTATAATATTTCAACAAAAAATTAAATAATATCATTATGTAACAGATGTAAAAAATACAAATAATAATTATATTATAAATATAATAATTAAAATAAATATAACAATAAAATATATATAATAATTATTATATATCATTTTTAATTAAATAGTTTATTAGAATTATGTATTCATTTTGATATTATATAGAAAATATGGTCAATCTATCGATATATATTTTTGGTGATATCTTTATTAACTTTAATGAGCTTGAAACATATTAACAAAAACATTATTTTGAGTAATTTTTTTTTTTACATATAATTTTAATTTTTAATCTGAGTTAATCTGTTATATACAAAAATATGGTATATAAAAATATTGATTAAGATTTATTTAAAAATATTTATTTAAAAATTATTATTTAAAGATTATTATTAGCAATTTAAATTTGTATTAATTGAAACAAGATGGCTTTATTTCTGTCTTATTTCATTTAACACAAACTTAAAATGTTTATAATTTAATAAATAAATCTCAATAAATATTTTTAAAATGTCTAAACTTCTAAAATTATTTTACGAATAGAACATTCATTCTAATACAAATAACCATTTCAAAATCACTTATATGTCATCCAATCTGTATCATTTCATTGAAAAATAGCATCCTAGTTCTTAAATTATCTTTCAATAAATTGTAATTATATTAAATTAAATAAAAATATAATCGCCTATAACTATCATGATAACAAATAGCTTTTAATAAATTTAAACAATCGATGAATATTTACAATAGCAGCAATGAAATATAATTAATAATTAAGTTTGGATTATGAAATATAATTTAAATTTTGAATATCTAAAAGACATCTAAAAAAAGTTTTTTTCATTTTATTTTATTTTTATTTTTTTTTATTTTAGATGCGAAATATTCAAATATATAATAGATCAACATTGAATTTTATTTAATGTATTAAATTAAGATATATAAAATTATTAAATCAAATCAAATTTATATTGTATTATATTGTATATTGTATTTATGTATTATATTAGATTTGCATTATATCTGAATTTATTTTGAGTTAATTAATAATTTGAAAAAGTTTTTTTTAATTTATAAAAATGTAGATTTTATAAAGTCATTAATATATGCATACATACATATGCAAAATTCAATCGATTACTTTTTTATAACATATATTAATATTAATATCAGCAGTTATTTCATTTTTCAAGTATGATATTTCATTTTTTTCAAGATCAACATTACATAATATCATTCCTTTTTGATTTGTTATATATCACAACAAAATAGTTAAAAAAAATCTCGTTTAAATCCATTAATACATCAACAATACATCAATATATTCACTAAGAATATTTTTACGAAAATTAAAGCCATTGATTACGTATAAAAAATTGTAAAAAAAGGTGTTGAAAATAATGTCTTTAACAATATATTTCAAACTCATTAAATCGATAAGAAAACAATATATCAATAAATTTATTAAAAAACCTACTTGATATGATTTTATATTTCCTAATTCCTTTATGTTGAAATGATGACAAAAAATATCAGAAAGCTTAATATGTTTTTCATTAGAAAGCAAAAGTTCTTTATTTAAAAGTGATTTGATTTCTATAGCAGTCCATATATAAAAAGCACCTTCTTTCTTTGCAGATGCATCATATGTAGGATAAGAATCTGCATCTTCAGCACTGTAAAACCCACCTTCCTAAAAAACATAAAATTAATAAATAAATATAAACATATTTTAAGATGAAATAAAGATACCTTGTGTCGAAGATCTCTTATTACATACGTAGCAATATCATTCACAATTTCAGCAAAATAATTATTTTTAGTTGCAAGATATGCATCTGCATATGATTTCATTAATTGAGCCTGGTCATATAACATCTTTTCAAAATGAGGAACATGCCATTCACCATCAGTAGCATATCTTGAAAATCCCTGATTAAAAATAATAAGCATTATTATAAATTAACTATCAATATAAAATGTTTAAATAATTTTAAATTCACAATTATAATAATCTAATCTAATAGTTAAAAAATAAAAAGTATAAACATGAATATGTTTAAAAACTTGCGATCTTAAAAATATATATTTTAAAAAACAACATATTAATAAAAAACTTATAATTTTTTTTATTTTTCAATATGATTTTAATATTTTAATAAAAATAAAATACATTTTTAATAAAATTTAATAGATATAGAATATTTATATCCTCACTTAGTATTTATCTTTATAACTTTCTTTTAAACTTATTTGAATTCAAGTATTTACAGTTTATAATTATGTTTAATTTTAATGTTTATAATTATGATGTTATTCATATAACATTATTCATATTATAAAATTATTATATATATATTAGGTATTTTCAACACCTTATAATGTGCTAATAATTCTCCAAATATTATTTTTTTATTATATTATAATTTCACATTAATAAGTAAACTTTACTTAATTAATATCAAATAATTTACAGATTATATATTTATATATTAAAATATTTTAAATTAATATATACTTTAAATTAATAAGTTTAAAATCAAAATATTTAAGGTTTCACTATAAATATATATATATATATTAAATTAATTTTTAAAATTAAAATTTTAAAACAGAAATTAAGTAAAATTTAATTTAAATTTTTATTAATTTTTTCGAGAAAATTAAAATTCTTACCTGGCCTACATGATCATGAATTCCTCCATAAGACATTTTTTTTAAAGTATACACACACATATGCAAACAAAGTCGCGCAAGGTCTGCATTGGGTTGACGTGCATACATATGAAATAAAAAATTAAAATTTACCGGCTGTGGAAATTTTGGTGATTGCATATTATATATAGAACCAAATCCACCAAATTTAGGTTCAAATTCATTTTCAAGTTGTTGAATACAAATTTCACTACATTCTAAGGAAGGTATATCATGTAGCTATATAAAGAAATCATTGTTTATTAACAATATTTAATAAACATAACTTTATTATTAAAATCTTTGCATAAAAATTTATTATTCTTTAATTTACCTTAGATGTATGTGGAATTTTAGAAATATTTTGTAAAATTTCAAGATTTGTAGAACCAGCTTCATTAATTTTAGTTTTGGACTGATTCCACTACAAAAAATATAAAAAAATTTATTTTATCATAATATAATAATATAGAGATTTAAACAAATTAAAACTTATTTAAATGGATGAATTAATAAATTATATTAATTGAATTATATTAATTGTTTATAAAAAATATTTATACCTTTTGTGCAATACTTAGTAAAATTGTCTTAAATCCTGTTTGTCTAGATGTATCTTCTGGAGGAAAATAAGTTCCACCAAATATAGGTTTTAAATCAGGAGTAAGAAAGACACTCATTGGCCATCCACCATGACCAGTTGTTGCCTATTAAATGATAATTTTAATTGTATTTGTCATATTTATTTAAAATATAATGTAACTACAATTACTTGCTTGTACAAAAGTCATATATATCCTATCAATGTCTGGTCTCTCTTCTTTGTCTACTTTTATATTAATAAAATTTTTATTCATTATTATAGCAATTTCTTTATTTTTAAAAGATTCTTTTTCCATAACATGACACCAATGACATGTAGAATAACCAACAGATAAAAATATACATTTGTCCTCTTTTTTTGCTTTTTCTAAAGCTTCATCACACCATGGATACCAATCAACTGGATTAGTAGCATGTTGTAATAAATATGGTGATTTTTCCAAATTTAAATGATTATTTTTTGCTATTTGTATATTTTCAAGGTTACTTGTGGTTGCCATATTTGCAAATGAAAAAATCAAAGATCTTTCTTGTATTCTATAAAATTATTTGTTTGCTTATTAATATATTTGATTTTTCATTCTTATAAAACTATTATAAAAATGAAAAAAGTTAATAATAATTAAATAAAAGTAAATAAATCATCTATAAAAATCATTTATTTTCATTAATAGAAAAAATAACAAATTAAAATTTTATAATCTATTTATTCGAGAAACGTAGTGAATGTAATCTAATAACTTTAAAATATTTGAAATATTTATTCATAGATAGACAAAAAAATTTATTCTTATGATTGAATGTATTAATTGTAAAATATACATATTTATTAATTTTATTATGTAAGACATATAAGATATTATAATTTATTAACTATCATTATTTAAATTTTTCATTAATATCTAATCAAAAGAAAATTGACAATTTTGAAATAACAATTATATTTAATTTTTTGTCTATTTTTAAGAAAGTTTTACATAAAAAAAAAAAATACTAAAGAGAATTAAAATTAATATCTTTCTTCTTATCATTTATAATATAGTGATACAATATAAAAAATAATATTCATAATATATAAATAAATATTAATTTAAATCTATATTTTATTAAATGAAAAATTATTACATAAATTCATAATTTATTATATTATACCTGTTTGAATGATGTTTACGTAATGATATAAAAGTAGTTTGGGATAAATATGATTTTGTTCTATTATTTTGAATCCACCACTTCTTAATTAATGAAAATTTATAGTCAACTGTTGACAGAAAACGATATCTTCCCAAAATCATAACACTTCTGATTTAAAATATATAACTGTCAAAAATAAGAGAAAATAAATAATATAAAAATAAAATTAAATACAATATTTAATTTTTATAAAACAACATTATTTACAATATTAATATTTTTTTTAATGCAATAATCTTAAAATAAATAAATTATATTTTAAGATAATATAATTTGATATAATATTTGATACAATTTTTAAAGATTTATTTACTTATTTTTATAAGTAAATTTCATATAAAAATTTTTAATCTATAAAAAATTAAATAATTGATGTTATTTTGTAATCATTTTAAAATCATTATAATAATAAATAATTTATTATTTATATATTTCTTATTAATCAATTAATTTTTATAATTAGATTAGATTAGATTAATAAAGATTTTATCATTTAAATTACTTGAACCACTTATTTAATTATTTATATATTTTATATATTTATATGAATTATATCAAAGTTTAAATTCTATTGCTTTAACTTTTCAGATTCGCTAGATTTTAGGTTAATTTTGGATGACATTGAGTTTGACATTTATTTGACTAAGAGTTGTTTTACTTTAATTTATTATATTTCTCAAATGAGAGGTATCAAGGAATAGATTTATGATGATTTATAATCATTACATATATCAATTTACAATTTTAATTAATATTAGATATTGGTAAAAGTGATAAAATAAATAAAATGTATATAATATCATTGAAAATAATAAATTCTCATTAGATAATAATTAGAATTATTTGATAATCGAAATAATTCGTAAAAATTAATTTTACATATATATAAAGACACTTTTATATATTTTAATTTTATGAATTTCTAATTACAATTGTTATTTTCGAATTCTATTTATCAAAAGTTATTAAAAAACATAAAAATAAGTAAAAAATTTTGTATCCCCATAAATAAAGTTTAATTAAAATATTAATTATATTGTTATTAAATGATCCAGTATTAATTTTAATTAATCTGTTATTAAAAATTATTTTATATTCAGTACATTATTTACAATTATTATACATATAACTTTATTTAATGTACATTAATTTGCATTTTCACTGTAAAGTACATAATCATATTCACAAATGAAAAAAATGGCAAATTTCTATAGAATTCATATTAGAATTATATAAAATATATTTATTTAGCACAAATAAATTTTTTAAATTATTTAATTTAAATAAAAACAAAGCAATATAGGAAATAACGAAAATATAAAAATAATTAAATAAAATTTGTTATTTAAAATACATATATAATACATATATAAAAAAATACATATATAATTAAGTAAATACTTGTAAAAAATAATAGATGTAATAGTTTCATACATAATTTCTAATATACTAATGAATCATTCCTATATATTTTACTACTTCTAAATAAATAATAAAAATAATTTCTGTATCTATATGTTAGTAATATTCATTTATATATTTTTATTTCACAAAATGATGAAATATTTCTTTATAAATAAATTTTAATATTTCAAATTTAAATAATATAATTATAATTTCTGTATCTATATGTTAGTAATAATGTAATTACAATAAATTGGGAAATTATAAATATATATATATAATTAATTTTACAATTAAGATGAAAAATTTAATTATAAAATTAATTATATCTAAACATAACATAATTATTCATAATATTTGCAACAAATTTAAATTCATTAATTCATTTTTTAAGAGATTTATGCAAAACTGAAACAGAAATATATATTATAATTAAATTTTTATCTATGAAAATCTTTGAATTTTTTTTGTATTTCTTTAAAGATTTTCAAAAATATCTGTCATAAATAAATATTTATTTCAAAAATGAAGTTTCATATTTTTAAAATATTTTACATTACATGATTTTGAATTACATGCTGCTATCAATTTTTCATATAATAGTGCGATTGCACAATTAATATATATCAAAAATTATATTAATACTTTAATTATTTTAATATAATTAAATTTAATGATAAATTTATAAATTTATAAATTCAATTAAATTATTTTTAATTATATTAATATATATTCAAATTATATTACGGAGAATTACAATTAAAAAGAATATAATCCATTTATTAAAAATTACTAATTTTAAATTTTCATAGTATTCTGTAATAACTATTCCATAGTTTTTTTTTATTTTTATAAAATATTTGCTTATAGCAATATATATAATAAATTATATAAGCAAAAATATAATGAAGCAATTAGTATTTTAATGTAACGCCATAAATATATATATATAATATATTGTTTTATAAAAATGTTAATTATATTCCATTTTTATATTTATTATAATATTAAAATAGAAATTCTAGTTTCAATACTATTTGAAAATCTCACATAAAAAATGTTACTATATCTGACAACTATGAATACATTCCTGTATTACTTATATGCGTCTGTTTATAGTTAGTAATTCGATTCGCTGAATGAATAGTAGACCATGGACTATTAAAACGTTCATGCCAACTGTAAAACTATAACTTGTCAAAGTTAATTAAAATTATCATACGTATATGACATGAAATAAAAATATTTTCAATGAATATGTTACATATTATGCGTATATATTTACTAATTATTTAAAATTATTTTACATTAACATTTAAATATATTTAATAAAATTATGTTTAATATATATAACATTACTAATCTGATTAAATGTAATATAATATTTCAAACATGGCTGCCGTTCATCGAGAGGCTATCCAAAAGCAGATTCAACAAGATTGGGCAAATCGAGAATATATTGAAGTTATAACTGGTAGCATCAAAAAAATAACTGATTTCCTTAATTCTTTTGGTAATTATATATTAAATTATTAAATGAAATATTTGAATATACAGTTTACTGTTTTTATAATAGAATATTTCAAAAGTAAACAAAATATCTTCAACATTTTTTTAAAATTATATATTATTAATTAATATATTTATTAAAAAATTATTTTATATTAGAATTAAATTTCGAAATTTTATATATTTTATATATATAATTTATTTTATATATTTTATATATATAATTTATTTTATATATTAACAAATTATAAATTTTATATAGTAACTTATATTTTTATATGGTAATTATATATCATTATATTAGAAAAGTAGCTTTCCTTATGTTGATCTTGATATATGTTATCAAAGATATTATTCTTAATAACTTTTTAAGTTAATCGGTGATCTGTTATAGTTTTCAAGATATTTACAAAAAAAAAATTATTATTATTATATACAATTTTGCTTATATGTATGTGTTTGTGATAATATATTCATCAACATGTAATATTTATTAACTATTTATATAATCTATCCAAAGTATAAATATATCAAGGTGACTGGTAAAATAAGCAATATTTTTGCATTTAGTATCTAAAAAAAATATATGAAAATAAAATATGAACTATTGAACTTACATTGATAGCAATATATTTAATGTTTATTATTGTAATTTCAATAATTTTGATCATACAAGAATTTTTTATTTTATATTTTAATTTTTTGGATAATTATTTTTAAAATGAAATGAAAAATGAAAACTTTCCTTCTTTTTGTTATATCTCATATATTCTTTTAATATTGTATATAAAAAGATATTAAGATTATATAATTGAAAAATTATAGTTTGCAAAATTGTTGAAAAAATAAATTTTTAATGAAAGAAGTGTTCAAATACTTTCTTGTAACATCATATAAACATTTTTTATTTCTTTTTCTTTTTTGTTGTTTATTTTTTAATTTATTTATTATTTATATTTTGATTAAATTTTTAATATTAAATTTAAAATTTTTTATACATGATTGTGAATACAATTTTTTTACAATTAAATTAAATATAATAATATAATATTTTTCAAGTAATTTTAAAGAAAAAATTTAGTGCCCATGGAATAATTAAAAAATATTTTTGTACAAGACATGAAAAACTAGATAAGATAAAATCAAAATAATGAAAAGATCGATTTAATTCAATTATAATTTAAAATAATTTAAAATAATTAAAAAAATAAATATTAATTATTAAAATAATTAAAAATACTCTATAAAGTGCTCAGAATATAATGTAAAATTTGAGCATTGTCTTCAGTGAAAACATTTTCTTAAAATTTCTCGCAAATTAATAATTTTTCAACCTTAATATTTTTTTTTATATAGAATAACAAAAGGATTTGAAGTATTGAAAAAAAAATAGTTCTTTATTTAAAAAAATATTGGATATGTAACTTGCATCGAACTATTCATTTTTA